TTATTTGTTTATTTAATATATTTTATTAATGCGCTTTTCCGAGCGGTGCCGCTCTTCCCTTCCCGCAGATGGCGGCATGGAAGCCGGGCTGCTCCCCGGGATGAAGGAGAGGCCAAGGCGCTGGGTTTCCCGAGGAGAGCGGGACCGCTCGGGGCGGGCAGCAGGACTCTTGTGCGGGTCCTGCGGCGGGGCCGGTCACCGCCCGAGCGGCCGCAGCGTCTGGGGGAGCGGCGACGAGCATCGCCGGCAGCTTCCCGAGAAGGGCCGGGGCTCCAGCTCTACCAGCATCCAGGAGACAGAAGTGGAAGTGGACTTGAATGTTGTCCGTTCCATGCTCTCCGAGCCTCCCCCCGTTATGTTCGGTCGTTGCTGGGGGTGATGTGCAGAAGGGAAGACTAAACCCTGTGGCGGTGGGTGTCATCCCCTTCCTCGGCCCCCACCGGCATTGCCGAGGGCGGAACGCCACGCTGAAGGAGCGGGGGAACCCCTGTGAGCAGTTCCTCTCTTAGTGATTAGAGCACTCTTTAATGAGGTGCTGTTTTCAAAGCTTTCGATCTCAGGAGGCTTTGAAACCTGGCCCCGGCTTTTTTGTGCCGTGCTCTAATCGCCAACTGCGTCAAAGAGGCGAGAAGGACCCGAAGATAAATCCGACGCGGTGATTTCGGAGCTCGCTTGCCCTTCAGGAGGGGACGGGCTTTTCTTTCTGGATCCCGGTAGACGGAGACAGTCGCCCTGAGCCGACTGAGGTGGAGCTGCTGTGCGGCACTTTCCTACTCGGGATGGTAGAGCTGGAAGTGTCCTGTGTCACGGGAGCGATTTTCCCCCAGCTGCTGCTTTTCCGTCTCTTGCCGCTTCTCCATTTCTTGTCTCAAAGTGTTAACTGAAGTTATGCTCTCATTTCAGTGGGGGTCGAAATAGAACGTTCCAAACATCCCTCGAAAAGTCTGTGTGCCTCTCCACTGTCTAAAGAACGACAGGAGGACAAACCTTCTGATTTGTGTTTGCCATTGGGCTGTACCTGCTTTTCCAAGGGTCCAGCGGTCACTCCGAGAGTTCTGGTGAATGAACTTCCCTTTGGATGTCGAAACACGCGGTTACTATTTTGCAGGTCTTCAAGTAGGCTTTCATCCCTTCCTGTCCAGTGAAGGAGGCTCAGAGTAATGCCCAGGCTTTCAGGGTGTAAAGGTGAGTACTTTCTATTGATTTTTCTTTACAGATTCTCGATATGGATCACCACTCCTCACATCTTGCTGCTTAGTCAGAGGCACTGGGCATGTTCTGAGGCAGACCAAAGTTGAAGTAGGTAAACTAAGCCTTCCAGCATCTCGGATGCTTTTCACAGGATGATCTCAGCTTTTTCTTACGACATTTGGGACTTCTCATCATGTAGATGCAGGTGGTATAAAAAGCAGCTTAGCTGTACATCTGTGGCAGTAGTGCAACACTGCAACGTGTAAGGATTTGCCAATGTCATCCACTACTACACTGCTACTCAGGTAGTAGCTGGATTTCATGAGAATACGAGAATCTCTGGTGATCTGGATTTGAGGAAGCAAGAAACAACTCTTCCTGTAGTTGATCTGTTTCACTGCACATTTTTCACTAGCTAAGCTCAGATCTCCGTCATTGTGGGACCATTAGAGAAGCTGCTGCTTGGTGGATATGAAAACGATACAGACAAGTGTTCAGATCGCAGGAAAAAGGCACGGAGTCCTGTATCCTTGACGTCAGTGTTGGTCATCTCAGTAACAGCCGTTTTACTGATTTAAAACATCCTACTACATTTTACATACAGCAAGCTTAACCTAGACCCTAGCACAGCTCTTAAGATACTTCTCAGTCAAATTTGCTGACCTTGGCATTACGTTTTCCTCCCCATGAATATGGCATGAAATGTTCCTCCAGAGAAGACCTACTTATTCAAGGTAAGTGAAACAATTTAGCAAGAAGATAAGCATGGGAGGAAAAAACCACAACCAAATAAAACAAACCCACAACAAAAATAAAAAACAAAGCAACCAATCAAACAACAAAACCCAAACCCAACCAAAACATAATGAAATAAAAAAAAAAAAAAACCACAAAAACCCACCTAAGCCAAAACCCGAAATCTGTCCTGCTTAATGCCTTTCACCTGGGACTCACATGGAGCAAGTGTGATTAATTTGTTGATAGAAGATCTGCCCCAGCATTACTACTTTTCCATGAGTCAAGACAGTGATCTCTGTCCAAATCTTTATTTCTTTTGCTACAGAAAACAAACAAACAAACAAAAAGATGGAAAACTGTAGGAAATTCAAGAGGTCGGGAACATGTCTCCAGATCAACTTGGCAAAACTCGTGCTGTGCAGGGTCTTTCTCACAGGTTTTCTGTTATCAAAAAGATCAATTCAACTGCCTGCAGAAGTTAACAAATGCTGTTCTACTTGCTAGGATGGATTTGTTCGTGTCTGTTTACCTGTGGTCTATGGTAATGAGAGTGTGAGTCTGCAGACCTAAACCATGGAAGAGAAGAACAAAACCCGTGTGGGCGTTAGGAATGACATAGTGACGTGCTAATGGGTTTAATAAATCTGAGTCCTCGGCCGCAGCAGTGTCTGCCAGAGGCTCCTTTTACTGTTTACTGTGGGCTGCGCTCCTCGAGAGAAGTGCTGGAGGGAAACTCTTTATCTTCAAAGCCTAATTCCACCAGGATTTTGGATACGAAACATTATCTGTCTGAATGTCTTCCTCGGGGAGAAAACCCTGTCACTTGTCGGGATAAGGAAATGCAGGTAAGTTACAAAGATGCAGTAGGAAGAGTTCATCTTTGCTTTGATGGCATAAACCAGACAAAAAATGACATCAGGGATGGATCTGGATCAAAGCATCATTAATGTCCACGGAAAGCCTGACAACCTTCAGAGACAGGTTTCCTTTTTTACCGGTGACACCACAGAGATCAGTCCATCAGCAACGCAAAAAGGTCGGTATCACAATCGTATGAAATAATATTTTGAACTGTGGTTTGTGTACAGGAGCTGCAGAGGTAACGGCAGAGATTGCTCTTATCCTTAGCCCACCTGAGGGATGTGCTGTGGCCGTGGGGGCGGTGTGAATGAGAACAGACGAGAGCTGTGTTAGCAGGTGGAGGATTCTGCCCTGAACCTTGGTGTAGTGGCAAAAAATCCTCCAGCAAACGGTTTTGCCGGGGTGGGAAAGGGGAGGCAGTATCTTTTAATTTCTGGGCCATTTTGTTGTGATGGGACATTGTCTGTGTGCTGTGGGGCAGTGATCCTCCCCTCCGAGTGGCACAGAGTAGGGCTTGGGGGATTTGTCACAGGGAGGCTGAATTTGAGTGGAGAAGTCCTTCCCTCCTGAGGAAAGGAGATGCTGTGTAGAACATGGATTTTGTCATGGGTGAAGAACTGGAGAATGCCTGCCTAGCTGGAGGTCTCTGACCCTGGGTACAGAGGTTCTTGCTGTGTTCTGGCAGAGCTTGTCAGTCTGAAAGGAAAAGTAAGAGCTTGATATTCATCATGCAGGTGGAGAATAGCTCTTCATCGAGTTAAATGAAGAGCTCTCAGCAGCTATGGTAGCTCTGTGCTTTTTTTCAGCCTTCTTGGAGGATTGGAGTGCTGGGCTGGGATGAGTTTGAGTCCCCGAAGGAAAGACTTCCCTGATTGTTTGGTGTAATCAAAGCTTTTTTGTTGCACAAATGTCAAAGTATCCGGGGCTTGGGCTTGATTATCAGAGGGTGATGGATTCTCTTTATTGAGATAACAGGGGCTGAAGAGAGTGTCCTTATTCCAAAAGGGGAGGGAAGGAGAAGGGAGAGTCTTTCTGTCTTGCATAAACCGCAGAAAAGCAGGAAGTTTGTTCCTCATCTGGAGAGATGGAAGTCAGCAGGGAAGAGAAGGGAGAGCTCCTGTCAAAAGGCAGGTCCGTGCTCGTATCGAGAGTGATGTAGTCATATGACAAACTAGTTGGTTACAGAGACAAATAAGATGCAAAAAGAGAAGCAAAAGATAAGGAAATGGGGGCAGGACAGGAAAGAGAAGATTATGAAAAAGAAGAGAAGGAAGAAAAAACAATGCAGAGAAAGAGAAGCAAAGAAGAATGAAGTAATAAACGGAAAGAGAGAGAGAAAGGAAGAAACCATAAACTGATTTAGTGACATGGCACTGATGGTATCACTGTACACAAGAAGAAAGGAAGGTGAGAAAAGAAGAAAGGAAGGAGGTAAAGCAGAAGACAAAGAAGAGAAAATAGGAGAAAGGCAGGGATAAAATTAGGGTAAACAAAGAAGGAAGAATGGAGAGAGACAGACGAGACAGTCGAGATGATCAGTACGCACCGACCTTATCTCTAAACCTTGAGAGGATTGGTCCCAAACAATCCCGCCTTGATTAGAGCACCACGCTCCGGCCTGATGTCCCGTAATTAGTGCTAATTGCTCCGACTTTGATGATCTCCTCCGCAGGGCCCGAGGAGACTGACGAGCTGCCAGAAGGGGTGAAGAAGAGAGGAGGATCAAAAGAGAAAAAGGAAGGGGAGTAAGGAACAGGGCATGGCACCGCAAGGATGAAAATGAAGAATGAAGAGAACTGAGAAGAAAGGGAAGCAAAATAGAAATAAACTAGAAAAGAGATAACTGATGAAGGAAAGAAGGATAAAAGAGGGAACAAAAAGGACAAAAGAAAGAGGAGGAAGGAAAGACAAAAGAGGCAAAGAAAAAGAGAAAGGAAGAGGAGCACGGTAAGAAGAGCCGGCAGAGGAGATGCGTCTGGCTGGGCGGAGGCGCGGGCGCTGTTGAGGGATCGTGTGAGGCGGCGGAGCAGCGCACGGTGTCGCTGCAGGCTCAGGAACGGCGTGTGGGCGGCTCCGCCCCGGTGCGGCGGAGAGCCCGGCTGTGAGCGCGGGGGGGCGGCTGGGGCCGGGCAGCGGAGCCGGGGCGTGCGGGCGGCGGCGGGAGCCGTGCGGGGCCCGTGCGGTTGGGGCCGGAGGCGGCGGCGGCGGCGATGGGCGAGTGTGCGTGGGGTGCGGTGTTGCGGGTGGTGGTGGTGCAGGCGGCGTGGGCGCTGTGCGCGGGGCAGGTGCGGTACTCGGTGCCGGAGGAAGCCAAGGCCGGGACGGTGGTGGGCCGTGTGGCGCAGGACGTGGGGCTGGAGGCGGGCGAGGCGGAGGCGCGGCGGCTGCGGCTGGTGGCGCAGGGCCGGCGGGCGAGCGTGGAGGTGAGCGGGGCGAGCGGGGCGCTGGTGGTGAGCTCGCGGCTCGACCGGGAGGAGCTGTGCGGGAAGAGCGCGCCGTGCTTGCTGCGGCTGGAGGTGCTGGTGGAGCGTCCACTGCGCGTCTTCCACGTGGAGCTGGAGGTCACCGACATCAACGACAATGCCCCCATCTTCCCCGCCGCCCGAAAAAACATCAGCATCGCGGAATTGTCTGTGCCAGGTTCCCGTTTCCCTCTGGAGGGCGCATCGGATGCGGATATTGGAGTGAACGCTCAGCTCTCTTACACACTCAGCCCTAGCGAGCATTTCACGGTCGAGGTAGAAAATCAGTAACTGACGCAAACAGGAAATCCTTATTCCTGGTGCTTAGCAAAGCGCTAGATCGTGAGGCGTTACCCGTGCACCGGTTGTTACTGACGGCGAGTGATGGGGGCCGGCCGTCTCTGACAGGGACGATGGAGCTGGTGATCTCGGTGTTGGACGTGAACGATAACGCGCCCCAGTGTAACCAGTCGGTGTATAAAGTGCAGCTTCCTGAGAACGCTGCAGAGGGGACGCTGGTGGCAAGAGTGAACGCCACGGATGCAGACGAGGGCACTAACAAAGACTTTTCTTATAGCATCTTGAGTACGGTTCCTGCCTGCTAAGCTGCAGACATATTTCATCATCGATCCAAAGACGGGCGAGATCAGACTGACGGGTACCCTGGACTTTGAAGACAGTTACGTTTGTACGATTTACACATTAGAAGCAACAGACAAGGGGACAGCCCCTCTGTCGGGTCACTGCAGCGTTGAGCTGGAGGTTCTGGATGTGAACGACAACGCACCGGAGGTGTGGGTGACGTCGCTGTCGGTGCCGGTGGCCGAGGACGCGTCGGTGGGCACGGTGGTGGCTCTGCTGAGCGTGTTGGACCGGGACTCGGGGGCGAACGGTCGGGTGCGGTGCTGGGTGTGGCCGTCGGGTCCATTCGGGCTGGAGGCGACGTTCTCGGGGTCGTACTCGCTGGTGCTGCGGGAGGCACTGGACCGGGAGCGGGTGTCGGAGTACGAGGTGGAGGTGCGTGCGGAGGACGGCGGGTCGCCGTCGCTGCGCGGCAGGCTTGGGGTGCGGGTGCCGGTGTCGGACGTGAACGACAACGCGCCGGCGTTCGCGCAGGCGGTGTACACGGTGCTGGCGCGGGAGAACAACGCGGCGGGCGCGGAGCTGGCGCGGGTGTGGGCGCGGGACCCGGACGAGGCGGGCAACGGGCGCGTGAGGTACTCGTTGTGGGAGGGCTCGGCGGGCGGGGTGTCGGGGTCGTGGTGGTCGGGGGCGGCGGTGCGGGCGGGGGTCGTCCGGCGTCGAGCTACGTGTCGGTGGACGCGGAGAGCGGTGCGGTGTGGGCGCTGCAGGCGCTGGACTACGAGGAGGTGCAGGTGCTGCAGTTCGAGGTGCGTGCGGTGGACGCGGGGGAGCCGGCGCTGAGCGGCAACGCGACGGTGCAGGTGTTCGTGGTGGACGAGAACGACAACGCGCCGGCGCTGCTGCCGGCGGCGGGCGGCGGTGCGGAGGCGGTGGCGGTGTCGGCGGCGGGGAGGCGTCGTGGTCCGGGGGCGCGGGGGCGCTGTGGGCGTGGGCGGCGTGGGGGCGCCGGCGGGGCAGGTGGTGGCGAAGATCCGCGCGGTGGACGCGGACTCGGGCTACAACGCGTGGCTGCGCTACGAGCTGTGGGAGCCGCGTGGCAAGAGCGCCTTGTTCCGCGTGGGGCTGTACAGCGGCGAGGTGAGCACGGCGCGGGCGCTGGAGGAGGCGGACGGGCCGCGGCAGAGGCTGGTGATCGTGGTGCGGGACCACGGCGAGCCGGCGCGCTCGGCCACGGCCACGCTGAGCGTGTCGCTGGTGGAGGGCGGCGAGGCGGCGCTGGCGGCGGCGGCGGGATCGTCGTCGCTGCTGCCGCGCTCGGCGGCGGGCGGGGACAGCGGCTCTGCGGCGGCGGCGGCGACGACGAACGTGTGGCTGGTGGTGGCGATCTGCGGCGTGTCGAGCCTGTTCCTGCTGGCCGTGGTGCTGTACGGGGCGTCGCGGTGGGCGCCGCGGGCGGCCGTGCTGTCGGGGCCCGGGCCCACGACGCTGGTGTGCGCCAGCGAAGTGGGCAGCTGGTCGTACTCGCAGCGCCAGAGCCGCAGCCTGTGCGTGGCGGAGGGCGCGGCCAAGAGCGACCTGATGGTTTTCAGCCCCAACTTCCCGCCGCCGCCCGGCGCCGCGGCCAAGGACACGCAGCCGGAGCCTCCCGCTCTCCTCGACACGGTCAGTGACAATCCCTTGCTCCTCTCTACGTATTCCCTCCTCCCTCTGCCCCTTGTCTCCCGTCCCCTGGGCCGGTCTTGTCGGGATCCGGGCACCGCACCCGTGACCTGTGGGGGCGGTTCCTTTACAGGTTCTTAAGTGTGTTAATTGTAGCTTTTCATCTGTAACCTAAAAAGGTATCGCAGTAACTCCTTGGGGTTCGCAGCTGAGATTTGCTGCTGTAGATAAGAATTGTTCTTGTTTAGAATGAAATCACTGCTGATTGCTATGAGAGTTGACCTGTGTTGCCTCGACGTTTCATTTTTGGAGACAAAACTTGCTTGTGTGTAGCATTTCCATCGGAGCTTGGTGAAGGAGTAAAGGAGAGGCTGTGGTGGTATCAGTCCCCAGGCCCTTTGTACTGCTTATTCCTTATTGCCTTTGCTGACTGCTGACTGTGGTGGTATCACACGTCTGTCCTCATCTTCTGGCATTTTCCTCAACAAGACATGTGAGGTAGGGTGACAATTTGAACTTGTGATTGAATGTATTTTCAGTCTCTGTAGTGCAATTTCTCCATTTTGTTGGCCCGGGAGTGTCCTTATGAAAACCTGGAAGGTTTTGTTTTGGGGTCTTTGTTATTGATTTTGAGGCAATTTTATTTTGTTTTTCGCCCATTTTTTGTTAGCTTTTTTTTGTGGCTGGACAGGAGGTTTGGTGTACACTCATCTGATTTCATTCTTGTCAGTATTTACATTATCCTTACAAGCTGTGTGCAAATCCTATTTGCAACAAGAACATAATAATCGCTCAGCCAATTTCTCCTACCCAGTGGATGTAATGAACTGCATTGCTGTGCTCCTCAGCATGTGGGTTGTTCTCTCTCTGTTCTTATGACATCACTGCTCGTTGCCATGAGAGCTGTCCCGACCAGAGCTCTGCAGCGAGTGTTACTCACAGGTGTGTAACATTTCCCCCTGAAGCTGCTGATCCAAAGGATCAGCTTCAGAGAGTCTGATGGACACCATGCCTGGGATGCCATCTGTGTGTTTTTGACAGAGTTGCAGTTGCTGGGGAGGGTAAGCAAAAATCAAATTGAGCTTTGAGGTGGGAGATTGTGAGTTGTGGCAGAGGTGAATGTGTCAGTGACACTGACTAGGGCCTGTGCATGTGCTGATGTGAAAGGTGACCTTGGGCCATGGGAAGACTTGTGTGAGGGGACTGGAAATCCTTGGGAAGACCGTGGTTCTTGTCATAAGAAGAGGGGAATGGGAGATGATGGTCTTCTCTGGAGAATTCAGAGTTGCAGAGTGAGGAATGGAGGATGTCCAGAGGAAAGGAGAAGGTACACTGGACACAAAGTGTTTTTGCCCAGGATCTCTTCTCAAGTTCCAAGGGTCTGGAATTGGAGGCCTTCTGGATCTTGAGATAGTATATGGCCTTGAAATGGCCACCAAGTCCTTTGCGGGTACAAATATCTCCCTTCGAGAGAGACAGTTCCCTGTGCTGCTGCAGCCTGGCATGGGGAATGGGATGGAGTTGGGGACATGCAGATTAAGCATTTTTGCCGCCGTTTTGGGGAAGTTGTTGTGGGAGGGAAGCACTTCAACCTGCTGTCTGTGGGTATTGTAGGGCACGTGTAGCACCTTCCACAGCTGTGGCCATTGTTGACCTGTGCTGCTCTTCAAACAGGATTTTTAAGGGCAGTTGAGGAGGTGGGTGTCATCTTTGTGCTCTGTTCTTCCCCATTTGTTCTCTTGCCCAGTCAGTCTGGATAGAGCTGGTGAGTGCTGTTACCACACATGGCTCATTCTGGTGTCTGGATGTACACACCAAACTTCCACTTCTACAGAGCTGCCCACCTCTGGTTTTGTTTTGTAGAAATTCTTCCACCCAGTTGACACTTTGATTGCACTTGTGCTTCATCATTTGCTTTGTCTTCTTGAAGAAGACAGTCTGTGGGGACTGGGATCAGAAGTATTCACAGCTCTGATCACAGAACCTTTAAACACTAGAATTGTATGTACCTGAACTTACTGCAAAGGCACAAAGCAACCTGGCATGTGGGAAGAGTCAAAGCATCCCCGAGTAGATTGCAGGACTCCACATATTCTTTGTGATGTGGACTGTTTTTGGTCAAACAGATGCTTTTTGAAATTTTGATCATGTTGCCAAGCCTTCTCTAAATCTTTCTGTGGGTAACTCTCTGCACTTACTCTTGATAAACAGGGGAAGGATTGGTCTTGGTATTCCAGACTGCAAAAAAAATTGTTTTCAATACAACCTAATGGGATCATCTGTTTCTCTTCTCCCTTTTGAGTTTGTTTTGGTGTGGTTTTTTTGTTGGTTGGTTTATTTCCTCTCTCTCAGTGGCGCCGTGTCAGATATTTCGGTCATTTTCCTTGGGTGTTGGGGATGTCTGTTCTGCTCTCCTGAGCTAAGTTTCACTTTCAGAGAATGTCTGTAGCTGACAGGTCTGCTTCCTTCTTCCCTTGTGCGAAAAACGAATGATGGACACTGCATGGTGTCCAGTCTTTGTGGAACATAAGTAACTGCTTTTGTCCAGCTTCCCCAGAAACTGAGAATGTTAATTAGAATTATCCTTTTCAATCAATTGCCCTCCCCCGAAGATGTTTGTTTTCTGAAGAAAGAACCAGTGACGCTGCAGGTAAGTCACACACCTGAAGTGGGTGTGTTTGAGAGACTGGTGTGCATTGGCTCTTGTTCTGTTGTGGCATCTTTCTGTTGAATCAACACGGTGTTGAACCCATAGACCAACAAAGCACCATTTCCTGCTCTCCTACGTTTTCTGCTGCTTCCAGGCACAGGCTGAGTGGGTGAGAGCCAGCAGGGATGGAGGAGGGACCAAAATGCATTTCCCCAAAGAGATGTGTTGGCGGTGAAGGGCATGTTCTCAGTGACAGTGCTGTGGTGTCGCCTGCACGGCTTTTGTTTGACTGTGTGACAAGTGGATCGTGCTAATGAGTGAGGGATTTCATGGGCATTAATGCTCATTAACCTCATACTGAGGTTGTTGTTGTGTTGTTGTGGCAGGGAGTGCCTGCCTCAAGAAGAAGGCAAGGACCTCCTGCAGGGGGACACTGAGTCAGGAAGGATCGGGGTACATGAAGATCCCTGAGGAGCAGTTTTTGTCCAGTGCTTTTTCAGTGTTTGTGGAGGATTGTGGTGCTGGTCTGTGCTGGGTTTGATTTCCTGAATGAGAAACTGCCGTGGGTGTGTTGGTTCTTTCAAGCCTGTGTTGCACAGCTGTCTCAGGAGCTCTGGCTTCGTGTTGTGTGAGAGAGGGTGGAGGAACCTGCTGTGATGTAGCAGAGCTGTTGTTTGGCATCTGACTGCCTCGGTGTGTTATTGGTGGGTCCTTGAGAGGGCTGGAGGCTGAAGAGTGTGGCCTTCCTGCTGAAGGGAGGGGAAGATGGAGGTGCCTGGGCAGGAGGTCATCAAGAAAGGTATTGCCTACCCGGAGGGATGGGAGGTGGCAGGGAAGAGAAATGAGATCTCTTGCCAAAGAAAGGGCAGGTGAATGCCTCGTAGCAGGGCTACTGTAGGTATTTTTAAAATGTTTTTTAAAGGAAAGTTTGAACAGATGATAGAAGGATGGAAACAGAAGAGAGGGGAGGCAACAAGACAATGCAGAGCGAGGGAAGAGAGAAAACAAAGAGAAAGGCAGAGCAAAAGGGAGAAGAGGAAGAACGTAGAAAGAAGGAAGAAAAAAAAAGAAGGACGTGAAGGAATCATTGCAAAGAAGTATGAAAGCGTTTGGAAATCAAGGGGGAAAATAGGAGGAGAGAAAAGGAGGAAACAGAAGAGGAGAGAGAAAAAAACCCATAGGATAAGGTTAAGGAAAAAAAAAGACATAAGGAAAGAGAACAGGGGAAGAGAGACAAGGGAAGGAATATAAACAGGAATACAAAAAGGAAATAAGAAAATAAAAAGAACGATGGGAGCCTGTTCAAGGAAATATAAAGTCAGAACGAAGGTAAGAAAGAAAGGAAGAACAGAAATCATAATAACGGAGAAAAATACCTTCCCTCACCGACGTTACCTGTAGATGCTGAGTGGAGGCGGTACCCAGCAAGGCTCCAATGCACTGCGGCTCTAATGCCCTGTATTGAGAGATGATGGTCTTCTCTGCGGCACTGGAGGCAACTGAAGAGATTCCAGCGGGGTTGATGAATTGAGGAGAATGGAAAGAGTTGTAAAGAATGAGGAACAGGAGGCAGGACAATGAGGAAGAAGAGGAAAGTGAAGGAGGAAAGAGAGAAGAGCACCAAGAGAAAGAAATAAGGAACAAGAAGGGAAAGAAGACATGACTAAAAAGAGAGAACTGAAGGGAGCGAGAAAATACAAGAAAGTCAGACGAAGAAAAAAATGAAACATTTGAAAGGGAACAGCAAGAGATGAGGAAAAATAAATGAGAAGGGGAGCAAGACATGAGAGAGGAGATGCATCTGGCTGGGTGGGGGCGCGGGTGCCGTGTGGGATCGTGTGAGGCGGCGGAGCAGCGCACGGTGTCGCTGCAGGCTCAGGAACGGCGTGTGGGCGGCTCCGCCCCGGTGCGGCGGAGAGCCCGGCTGTGAGCGCGGGGGGGCGGCTGGGGCCGGGCAGCGGAGCCGGGGCGTGCGGGCGGCGGCGGGAGCCGTGCGGGGCCCGTGCGGTTGGGTCTGGAGGCGGCGGCGGCGGCGGCGATGGGCGAGTGTGCGTGGGGTGCGGTGTTGCGGGTGGTGGTGGTGCAGGCGGCGTGGGCGCTGTGCGCGGGGCAGGTGCGGTACTCGGTGCCGGAGGAAGCCAAGGCCGGGACGGTGGTGGGCCGTGTGGCGCAGGACGTGGGGCTGGAGGCGGGCGAGGCGGAGGCGCGGCGGCTGCGGCTGGTGGCGCAGGGCCGGCGGGCGAGCGTGGAGGTGAGCGGGGCGAGCGGGGCGCTGGTGGTGAGCTCGCGGCTGGACCGGGAGGAGCTGTGCGGGAAGAGCGCGCCGTGCTTGCTGCGGCTGGAGGTGCTGGTGGAGCGTCCGCTGCGCGTCTTCCACGTGGAGCTGGAGGTCACCGACATCAACGACAATGCCCCCATCTTCCCCGCCGCCCGAAAAAACATCAGCATCGCGGAATTTACTACGCTCCCTGGGTCCCGTTTCCCTCTGGAGGGCGCGTCGGATGCAGATATTGGAGTGAACGCTCAGCTCTCCTACACACTGAGCCCCAGCGAGCATTTCAAAGTACAGGAAGAAAACAGTAACTCGCGTACTAAATCCTTATTTCTGGTACTTACAAAACCGCTGGACCGGGAGACGATGGCGGTGCACCGGTTGTTATTGACAGCGAGTGACGGGGGCCGGCCGTCTCTGACGGGCACTGTGGAGCTGGTGATCTCAGTGCTGGATGCGAATGACAACGCGCCCCAATTTAACCAGTCGGTGTATAACGTACATCTACCCGAGGACGCCATAGAAGGGATTCTGGTGACGCGGGTGAATGCCACAGATGTGGACGAGGGAAGTAATAGCCATGTGAAATATGAAATCGATACTGTTGTTCCTCCCTCTGCCACAAATGTTTTCAGCATCGATGCAAATAGTGGCGAGATCAGACTGAGGGGAGCCCTGGATTTTGAATCTGTTACTTTTTACGAACTAAACGTAAAAGCGACAGATAAGGGGACGCCCCCGCTGTCGGGTCACTGCAAAGTGGTGTTGGAGGTGGTGGACGTGAACGACAACGCGCCGGAGGTGTGGGTGACGTCGCTGTCGGTGCCGGTGGCCGAGGACGCGTCGGTGGGGACGGTGGTGGCTCTGCTGAGCGTGTCGGACCGGGACTCGGGGGCGAACGGTCGGGTGCGGTGCTGGGTGTGGCCGTCGGGTCCGTTCGGGCTGGAGGCGACGTTCTCGGGGTCGTACTCGCTGGTGCTGCGGGAGGCGCTGGACCGGGAGCGGGTGTCGGAGTACGAGGTGGAGGTGCGTGCGGAGGACGGCGGGTCGCCGTCGCTGCGCGGCAGGCTTGGGGTGCGGGTGCCGGTGTCGGACGTGAACGACAACGCGCCGGCGTTCGCGCAGGCGGTGTACACGGTGCTGGCGCGGGAGAACAACGCGGCGGGCGCGGAGCTGGCGCGGGTGTGGGCGCGGGACCCGGACGAGGCGGGCAACGGGCGCGTGAGGTACTCGTTGTGGGAGGGCTCGGCGGGCGGGGTGTCGGGGTCGTGGTGGTCGGGGGCGGCGGTGCGGGCGGGGGTCGTCCGGCGTCGAGCTACGTGTCGGTGGACGCGGAGAGCGGTGCGGTGTGGGCGCTGCAGGCGCTGGACTACGAGGAGGTGCAGGTGCTGCAGTTCGAGGTGCGTGCGGTGGACGCGGGGGAGCCGGCGCTGAGCGGCAACGCGACGGTGCAGGTGTTCGTGGTGGACGAGAACGACAACGCGCCGGCGCTGCTGCCGGCGGCGGGCGGCGGTGCGGAGGCGGAGGCGGTGTCGGCGGCGGGGGAGGCGTCGTGGTCCGGGGGCGCGGGGGCGCTGTGGGCGTGGGCGGCGTGGGGGGCGCCGGCGGGGCAGGTGGTGGCGAAGATCCGCGCGGTGGACGCGGACTCGGGCTACAACGCGTGGCTGCGCTACGAGCTGTGGGAGCCGCGTGGCAAGAGCGCCTTGTTCCGCGTGGGGCTGTACAGCGGCGAGGTGAGCACGGCGCGGGCGCTGGAGGAGGCGGACGGGCCGCGGCAGAGGCTGGTGATCGTGGTGCGGGACCACGGCGAGCCGGCGCGCTCGGCCACGGCCACGCTGAGCGTGTCGCTGGTGGAGGGCGGCGAGGCGGCGCTGGCGGCGGCGGCGGGATCGTCGTCGCTGCTGCCGCGCTCGGCGGCGGGCGGGGACAGCGGCTCTGCGGCGGCGGCGACGACGAACGTGTGGCTGGTGGTGGCGATCTGCGGCGTGTCGAGCCTGTTCCTGCTGGCCGTGGTGCTGTACGGGGCGTCGCGGTGGGCGCCGCGGGCGGCCGTGCTGTCGGGGCCCGGGCCCACGACGCTGGTGTGCGCCAGCGAAGTGGGCAGCTGGTCGTACTCGCAGCGCCAGAGCCGCAGCCTGTGCGTGGCGGAGGGCGCGGCCAAGAGCGACCTGATGGTTTTCAGCCCCAACTTCCCGCCGCCGCCCGGCGCCGCGGCCAAGGACACGCAGCCGGAGCCTCCCGCTCTCCTCGACACGGTCAGTGCCTCTTCCTTGGTCACTTCTCGCCCGGTTCCCCGACAACCCTTCCCCACGCTGCCTCTTTTCTCCCGCTCTCCGGGCCGTTGCTGTTGAGACTCAGGCTCAGCTCCCGCGTCCTGAGCCTGGAGGGTTCTTGGCAGGTGCTTAAGGATGTCAATCGCACGTTTGCAGCTCCCACTCGGTCCTGCACGGGGCTGTTGGGGGAGGAGGGGTGGGAGGAGCAGGAAGCCGAAATAAGCGTCCTGCGGCAGCTGAGAACAGTTCCCGTCAGCCACTGAGGTTTGCTGCTTTGGATGTGAATTGTTATGGCCTTGAATGAAATCCCTGCCCTGTTCGACGAGAGGAGCCCCGAGGTGTCAGCTTTGTAGCTTGTGCTTTTTGTTACTTGCTGAAGGCGTGAGGGAAGGCAGGCTGTGGTTGTTACAGACCCCCAGGCAGTAAAGGCTGCCTTATTAGCTTTGCTGAGTCCTGGCCTTGCTGGTGTCAGCGTTGTCAGAAACTCTGTCCTCTGATAGAGTTTTGATTCTTTTGATTCTTCTTTGATTCCATTTTGTTTCTTCTGATATCTGAGCTGTATCTGAGCAGTATTCTACTGTTTCTCTCTTCATTGTGTAGTTTTCCCCTGTGTTGCAGCAGACTCATTATGAAAGTCAGGAAAGCTTTGCAGAGTTTTCTTATGTTCTTTTCCTAGCATGTTATTTCTCTATATAGTGATGTAACCTGTTCAGGCAGAGGATGGTGACCCGAGGTAACTGAAAGGAATGGGACTTTCCCTAATCATGCTATGTAGTTCTGTTCATGGTTGGAGATTGCCACTGGCCTGTTCTGATAGTCTTTCAATATTTGTTATGACTTTTGACCAGGAAACATTCTCTTAAATAGCACACAAATTAACCTGTATAGATGTTATCCATTAGAGTGCTGTGGTCCTTATTCAGGTATTTCTCTCAGAGCATGAAATCATTGCTTGTTGTCATTGCAACTGCACTGGCACCATGTCTACAAATAGATGTGTAACATTTCAGGTGTGTAACAGAGGTCTAAGCTGTTTAAGATTTCCATCTGGGATAGCATTAGAAAAGATGAAGAGTCAGCTACAGGGAATCTGCTGAACCGTGTGTCTAATATCAGCTGTATGATTTTTATGGTGCTGTCACTAATGAGAACAGTTTTACATTCCTGGCCAGAGAAGTGGCATGACATAGACTGGGCTGTTATGGTGTTCTTGGAATATTTGCATCAGGAGCCATGTCCTTACAAAAGTCCTGGAGAGCTGTCAACAAAAAACAAACTCAACCAGCCAATAAAGAAACCCTGGTAACAAAATGTGAAATATGAATTCTTCCACAGAAACAATGTCATCCTTTACATTGGGTTGCTTGTTAATAATCGAGTTCTACAACAGCATGAAATCAATGCCATTGATATTTGGAGTTGTTCTGACATCACCTTTAGAAAGAGTAGAATGCTGGACATGGTCTACATGATACAATCCCTATGCTTTTTCTGTGGTGCTCTTATTGCTGACACTGGTCTCCAAAAGCTGGAGGGAGCCCTGAAGTGGTAAAGGAGACAGTGACATGTTGCAGAGGTGAATGTGGTAGTGGCACTGCGTAGGCCTTACCCATCTCCTGATGTTAAGGTTGACCTTGAGCAGTGGCAAGAGTTGTCTGATGGAAGTGGAAGTCCTTGGGAAGACCAGGGGCCATGTCATGTGACAATCTTCTGGGTCCATTTTACTGTGCTATCGCTGTTGCTGACTGCTGGTCATGCTGGTGTTGAATATGGTTTTTTATCAAGAACTCAGTTATCCTTGATTCTCCTCCAAAAGAGATGTGATGCAAGATGACATTTGTGATTTCACTGTTCTCCCTACTCACAGTGGTAATTTCTCCTGTTTGTTTGACCCTCCAGAGTCATTGTGAGAGCAGGGAAGCCATTGCACACTTTTTCTGTGCTCTTTCTCCAAGTATGTGTTTAGTTTACTGAGAAGAGAAAGTGTTCAGGCAGAGGAGGAGTGTGACTTAAAGTACAGATTTATCTTCTCTTGCCTTTCTGAACTGGATTGTGGGCAGATTGTCCAGTGAGGTGGCACAACCATCCACTGGCCTGTTTTCATGTTCTGTTAATATTTGCATAAGCAGCCACACCCTTAAAAAACCTCTGGGAGTCCTCTTTTCAAAAAATACCCCACAGAATACAACCAAACCCACAACCCCCACAAAAAACCCAACCCATACCCAACACTTCATTTTCCTATACAGTAGCTATCATTGTTTGGCTCTGATGTGTTTTTCAACATTTGGGTTGATCTTCCACGGCATGCAATCAATGGCCATTGCCTTTAGAGTGGCCCTGACATCACCTCTATGAAAAGTATTCTCTCAGGTGTGTAATGTTTCCATCTGCAATTCGGGAACCAGGGGAGATTGTGAGGTGAACGTGGCAGTGGCACTGAGTAGGCTCTGACCATGTCCTGATATGAAGTGTGACCTTGAGCAGTGGGAAGACTTGTCTGTGGGAACTGGAAATCTTTGGGAAGACCACGGGCTATGTGGTGAGAGAACAAGAATGTGAGGTGATGTTCTTGTCTTGAGAACACCTGTCCCAGGGTGGGGAATGAGGGATACGTAGAGGAAAGCATGAGGCAGTGTGGGCACTGATGTCCACTGCTAGGATCCTGAGGTTATGGAGTTGAAGGCCTTCTGGATACTGAGATAATCCACAGAGATTTAATGCCAATCATATTATGAATACCTCACACCAGAGACATTCCCTACTGTCTGCCTCGTGCAGACATGGCATCAGTGAAGAGGGTGTTGCATGCAGACTGCTGACCATTTCCTGGTGAACTTTTTGGTTCCTAGTTTGGAAAAGGTTTTCTGGGAGGGCAGCACTTCAACGTGCTGTCCTTATATAGTGGTGGGCATCTACAGTAGCTTCCACAGCCATTGATCTTGCCATGGTGGCTCCTTTGTGCTCCTCGGGCACGATTTTTAAGGGCACATGGTAAGGCGAGTGTAATCCTTGTGCACTCTTCTTGCTGTACTTGTGCACGTGAAAATTCAACCTTGTTAGAAAATCCTGTTGTCGTGAGTGGCTTATTCTGATGTCTGTGATGTCCATGTGAAACTCTGCACAGCAGCCCAGCTCTGGTTTTCGATGGGACAAATTCTCCCATCCTGTGCATATTTGGCTTAGGCGTTTGCTGTCATTCTCTGGAAGTGTAAAATCCATGTGGGCTGTGGTCAGAACTGTCATGGCCATATATATCACAAAATCCATAAGAACTCAGTCGTTATGTGCTGCTTGGTGGTGTTTCCATCTGAGATTGCTGAAAGGGCATAAATCACAAAGTTTATGCAGCCGAGGATCATCTACCAAACACTGAGGGGCTTTGCATCCCTCTGTGTGTTCTTTGTGCCAACTGCAAGGGAAGGTGAGGGTGTGCAAAGACCTAGGACATGCTTAGAGCAGGGTTTGTGGCATTGTGGAAGTGATCCTGTGAGTGGCAGCAGGTAGGGCCTGGGCATGTGTCATGATGAGGGCAACTCCTTTAGCGGGCAAGGGTCTTGCCTGAGGGACATGGAGATGATGTGTAGAACAGAGCCTGCATCTTTGGTGGGGGACTGGAGAATGTGTGCTTAGGTGGAGATGCCATTTCCCAGGGTGTGAGATTCCAGAACAAAATGTCAAGAAGAGGCTTTGCAGACATTGCCAATGCCTGGGACTTCTCAGGGCCTCCAACAGTTCTGCATGTCCTTGTGGCCTGTTTGTTCTCCTTATGTGTTTCCATTCACTGGAATTGGTTCCTTTGGTTTTCTTCTCTCTTCTTACCAGCTTCTCTTCTTCACAGTCTTGTTTTTCTCTCTCTAACGTTGGCAATGTGTTGGTAACACTGGATAATATGGGGTGTTGTGTTTTGGCAGCTGTGAGGTTGCAAACATTCGGGTACTTTTCCGTCAGTGTGTGGGATGACTTTTGCATTCTGCTGAGCTGAGTTTGACATTGAGACAATGTCCTTCCTTAGCTTTCCAGTGTTCCTCCTGCTACCCCGGGATAGAAGTGCATAAGGGAGCACTGTGCTTTCTCCAATGATTTCAAGCCTTTTGTAGAATGTTTTCTATCCATCTTTCCCAGCAGTCTCTGGGAGTGTTAGGGAAAAATGCCCTTTAAAACCAGTTCCCCTCCTCTGAAAATATTTCTTTTCTGAAGAAGCAAACAGTGATGCTACAGGTAAGTCCCTCGTGGCTAAAGAAGAGGAGTCTGAGAGACAGCTGTACCTTTTGTGCCTGTTTCCTCATAGTATCTTCATCTAGGATTGAGTGAATGTGCCTGGCTTGGCAGCTGGACTGGATTGGTCCCTTCCACCTTGAAATATTTAAGAATTCCTAGATTGGACCAGCAAAGCACCACTGCTTGTTCTCATTTCTTTCTTGCTGCCTCCAGCACCGTTTGAGAGATTGCAGCAAGCACAGATGGAGGAGGGACTCTAATGCATGTCTGAAGGTAGATGGGCTGGGAGAGGAGAGGATGTTCTCTGTGAAGATGCTGTTGTTTTGCATTCATGTGTTTTGCTGGACTGATCACAGTACTGAGTTCCCTGGGAACTGATGCCCCAGAGTGTGGAAGTTCTTGCTGCATTGTTCTGGCAGAACTTGTCTGCCCAAGAGCAAGCAGATGGAAAATGAGGCAGGAAGAATGGCTCTTCATCAGGGTATATGGAGAGTTCTCAGGAGTGGTGGTTGTGCTGTGCTTCTTCAGCATTCATGGCAGATTGGTGTGCTGGGCTGTGTTTGAATTCCCAAGTGAGAGAATTCCATGGGGTTTCTTGGGCTCATTGGAGCCTTTTTGCCCAGATGTTGAAGTACCTGGGGCTTGGTCTTCTGATTCCAAGGGCAGTGCATTCTTTACAGTGCAGTACAGCTGTTCTTTGCCATATTATTGCCTTGCTGTGTTATTTGCTGGGTCCGTGATGGGACTGGAGGCTGAGGGGTGTGGCCTTCTTGCCGATGGGGAGGGAAGGGAAGAGGAGGTGTGCTGACAGTCTGTTTGCTTTCCATTTTCTGGAGGAAAGCTGGAATGTTGTTCCTCATGAGGAGACCGGTAAGGCCCCCGTGAGAGCTCTTGTCAAGGGGCAGGTCTCTGCTGCACGAAGAGGATGATGTAGACACTTAGAAAACATGTTGTTTGGCAAACATTTTGGTAAAGGGGAAAAAAAAGAAGTATGGGCACAGAAGAGAGGGGAATCAAAGAGGGTAGTGTGAGGCATGAAAGTAAAAGGCATGGAAGGAAGAGAAGGAAAAGAAGAGAAAGGAGGGAAGAAGGAACGTCTGTAAATGAAAAGCAAGCAAGGAAAAAAGAGATTTAAAAGAAAGGAAAGGTGGGATGATAGAGGAGATTAGCAGCATGCACCAACATTTCCTCTACATGCTGTCTGGAGTCGAGGACCTCGGTATCCCCAGTAGTCAGGAGCCCTGTGCAAGCCTTGATGAAGAGTGATGAGGAAGAGGAGTAAGAGTTGGTGTGTCAGGCTGTGTCCCCCCTACATGGTGAGAATGATGTAGTCATGTAGAAAATACTGTGTTAAAAGAGACAGAGAATTAGCAAAGAGGGAAGAAGAGATGGTTAGGGAAGGAAAGGGGAAAAAAAAGAGAAGGACAAAGAAGGGGTAAGAAAATAAAGCAGTGAAAGACTGAAAAGTCAGTTGAGAGAAAAAGATGAAGGATGAAACACTGAATAAGTTTACTAGCATACTACGATGTAATGTCTATACACACAGAGGTGGGAGGGGAGAAGGAGGAAGAGAAAGGGAAAAAAAAAGAAAGAAAAAAGGAATTAGGGAAGGAGGGTGCCAAAGTGGAGAAAAGAAAAGGACATATATGGAGATTACCGGGGTGCACCGCCGTTCTCTTCTAACGCTGAGGGGATTTGGTCTCCTGTGGTGTCCCCACTGGTTACTGTCCCCCGCACCAGCGATGATGCCCTGTAATTAGAGTCGATGGCTCCGACGGTGATTGTCTCGAGCACAGCGACAGAGATCACCGGTAATTTGGTGGCAGAGATAAAAAAAAGCGAAGCAAGGCAAGAGAACGGCAAGGGGAGAAAAGGCTCGGACACGGCAGGGCAAGGAAGAAAGAGAAGGTAGAGAAGAAGGAAACGAAACAGAAGAAAGGAAAAAGAGACAGAGGAAAGAGAATAGAGTAAAAAGAGGAGAAAATACCAGAAAAGAGAAAAAAGGATACTTCTTAAAAAGACAGAATGAAAAGATGAAAGAAAAAGAAGATGAAGAGATACGAAAGAGGAATATATGGAAACAAGTCGCATCAATACGGACAAGGAGAGAGAGAGAGATACAAAGAGAAGCTCGGTAGGAAGAGCCGGCAGTGGAGGGAGCTAGGCGGAGGTGCGGGCGCTGTTGAGAGATAGTGTGAGGCGGCGGAGCAGCGCACGGTGTCGCTGCAGGCTCAGGAACGGCGTGTGGGCGGCTCCGCCCCGGTGCGGCGGAGAGCCCGGCTGTGAGCGCGGGGGGGCGGCTGGGGCCGGGCAGCGGAGCCGGGGCGTGCGGGCGGCGGCGGGAGCCGTGCGGGGCCCGTGCGGTCGGGGCCGGAGGCGGCGGCGGCGGCGATGGGCGAGTGTGCGTGGGGTGCGGTGTTGCGGGTGGTGGTGGTGCAGGCGGCGTGGGCGCTGTGCGCGGGGCAGGTGCGGTACTCGGTGCCGGAGGAAGCCAAGGCCGGGACGGTGGTGGGCCGTGTGGCGCAGGACGTGGGGCTGGAGGCGGGCGAGGCGGAGGCGCGGCGGCTGCGGCTGGTGGCGCAGGGCCGGCGGGCGAGCGTGGAGGTGAGCGGGGCGAGCGGGGCGCTGGTGGTGAGCTCGCGGCTGGACCGGGAGGAGCTGTGCAGGAAGAGCGCGCCGTGCTTGCTGCGGCTGGAGGTGCTGGTGGAGCGTCCGCTGCGCGTCTTCCACGTGGAGCTGGAGGTCACCGACATCAACGACAATGCCCCCATCTTCCCCGCCCCCCGAAAAAACATCAGTATCGCGGAATTGTCTGTGCTGGATGCTCGTTTCCCTCTGGAGGGTGCATCGGATGCAGATATCGGAGTGAACGCTCAGCTCTCCTACACACTCAGCTCCAGCGAACATTTCAAAGTACAGGAAGAAAACAGTAACTCGCGTACTAAATCCCTGTTTCTGGTACTCACGAAACCGCTGGACCGCGAGACGATGCCGGTGCACCGGTTGTTGCTGACAGCGAGTGACGGGGGCCGGCCGTCTCTGACGGGAACGATGGAGGTGTTGATTTCGGTGCTGGATGCAAACGACAACGCGCCCCAGTGTAACCAGTCGGTGTATAAAGTACAGTCTGCCCGAGGACGCCATAGAGGACGCTGGTGATGCGGGTGAACGCCACGGATCCGGACGAGGGAAGTAATAGTGAAGTGACATATGAAGTCGATACTGTTGTTCCTCCCTCTGCCACAAATGTTTTCAGCATCGATGCAAATAGTGGCGAGATCAGACTGATGGGAGCACTGGACTTTGAAGCAGTTACTTTATACGAACTAAACGTAAAAGCGACAGATAAGGGGACTCCCCCACTGTCAGGTCACTGCAGCGTGGAACTGGAGGTGGTGGACGTGAACGACAACGCGCCGGAGTTGTGGGTGACGTCGCTGTCGGTGCCAGTGGCCGAGGACGCGTCGGTGGGGACGGTGGTGGCTCTGCTGAGCGTGTCGGACCGGGACTCGGGGGCGAACGGTCGGGTGCGGTGCTGGGTGTGGCCGTCGGGTCCGTTCGGGCTGGAGGCGACGTTCTCGGGGTCGTACTCGCTGGTGCTGCGGGAGGCGCTGGACCGGGAGCGGGTGTCGGAGTACGAGGTGGAGGTGCGTGCGGAGGACGGCGGGTCGCCGTCGCTGCGCGGCAGGCTTGGGGTGCGGGTGCCGGTGTCGGACGTGAACGACAACGCGCCGGCGTTCGCGCAGGCGGTGTACACGGTGCTGGCGCGGGAGAACAACGCGGCGGGCGCGGAGCTGGCGCGGGTGTGGGCGCGGGACCCGGACGAGGCGGGCAACGGGCGCGTGAGGTACTCGTTGTGGGAGGGCTCGGCGGGCGGGGTGTCGGGGTCGTGGTGGTCGGGGGCGGCGGTGCGGGCGGGGTCGTCCGGCGTCGAGCTACGTGTCGGTGGACGCGGAGAGCGGTGCGGTGTGGGCGCTGCAGGCGCTGGACTACGAGGAGGTGCAGGTGCTGCAGTTCGAGGTGCGTGCGGTGGACGCGGGGGAGCCGGCGCTGAGCGGCAACGCGACGGTGCAGGTGTTCGTGGTGGACGAGAACGACAACGCGCCGGCGCTGCTGCCGGCGGCGGGCGGCGGTGCGGAGGCGGTGGCGGTGTCGGCGGCGGGGAGGCGTCGTGGTCCGGGGGCGCGGGGGCGCTGTGGGCGTGGGCGGCGTGGGGGCGCCGGCGGGGCAGGTGGTGGCGAAGATCCGCGCGGTGGACGCGGACTCGGGCTACAACGCGTGGCTGCGCTACGAGCTGTAGGAGCCGCGTGGCAAGAGCGCCTTGTTCCGCGTGGGGCTGTACAGCGGCGAGGTGAGCACGGCGCGGGCGCTGGAGGAGGCGGACGGGCCGCGGCAGAGGCTGGTGATCGTGGTGCGGGACCACGGCGAGCCGGCGCGCTCGGCCACGGCCACGCTGAGCGTGTCGCTGGTGGAGGGCGGCGAGGCGGCGCTGGCGGCGGCGGCGGGATCGTCGTCGCTGCTGCCGCGCTCGGCGGCGGGCGGGGACAGCGGCTCTGCGGCGGCGGCGGCGGCGGCGACGACGAACGTGTGGCTGGTGGTGGCGATCTGCGGCGTGTCGAGCCTGTTCCTGCTGGCCGTGGTGCTGTACGGGGCGTCGCGGTGGGCGCCGCGGGCGGCCGTGCTGTCGGGGCCCGGGCCCACGACGCTGGTGTGCGCCAGCGAAGTGGGCAGCTGGTCGTACTCGCAGCGCCAGAGCCGCAGCCTGTGCGTGGCGGAGGGCGCGGCCAAGAGCGACCTGATGGTTTTCAGCCCCAACTTCCCGCCGCCGCCCGGCGCCGCGGCCAAGGACACGCAGCCGGAGCCTCCCGCTCTCCTCGACACGGTCAGTGGCGTTTCCTCCCTTGTCTCTGCCTCCTCTCCCGCCCCCTGGACAGGGAGTGCCCGGAGGGCGGTGGGTTCTTGGCCGGTGCTTTAGGATGTCACTGTCACTTTTTCTTCTGCCTTCGTGTCCTTTCTGGAGCCTCCGCTCTCTTGGGGGTTTGGAGGGACACACTGAAATAATAGGTTTTCGGTACCTGGGAATAGTTATGGTCCACGGCTGAGGTTTGGTGCTTTGGGTAGATGTTGTTCTCTGCTAAAATGAAATCACTGCACATTGCGAATGGAGGTGCCTGGAGGTGTCACCTTTTCAGGCAACGGTGTTGCTTGTTGATGTGTGGTATTTCCACCCGAGCTCGATGAAGGTGTGCAAGACAGGCAGGCTGTGGTGGTGACAGTTCCCAAGGCACTATCTGCTACCCTGTTGCCTTTGCTGACTGTGGTGCTGCTAATCTGTTTTTTCAACAAAACTCTCCTCCTCTCGGTTCTTGAAAAGATGCCATGCAAGATGACACTTGAGACTTCTAGGAGAGAAATTCTTTATTTCGGGTGTACCACCAATCTGATTAACATGGGCAGATGGTAACTTATATGTTTTTTGTTGAGGAATCTTCTTTGTCTACTTAGTGTTGTAAAGGGTTCAGGCAGAGGAGAGTGGTCCAAGGGAACCATTTAGAAATGGGAATTTTATTTTTCTTTTTCTGCCGTCCCTGTCCCCCAGGTTGTGGATTTATGTTCCTGGCTGGGGTAGAAGTGTGTAATGTCCTGCCCTATTTTATGTACTTTCCAAATTTAAAACAACAGCGATATTACTTCAAAAGCCCTGGGAAACGTTTTTGCTGCAAAGAAGAAAGAAACAAATAAACTCACCCCCAAAACCTCAAAAGAATCCTAAACCCAAACAAACACTTTATTAACACTGACATCACATTTGGTTACATAGCCGGTATCTCCTGTCACAGTGTGTGCTCATCACCCTTTTGTTTTTTCTCTCATAGCATCAAAACAGGGCATTTGTCATTTAGAGCAGTCCCAACATCACCTTTAGAAAGACTATTGTTCCACGGTGCAAAAAGTTTCCACCTGTGCAAGCTGAAGAATTGCAACCCTTAGGTCTGCTGCAGAGTCGGGAGGACATTATCTTAATGATGATATCTGTGTGTTTTTCTGTGGTGTTCTTATCAGCTGGCAGGGCTTACAAAAGCTGGAGTGAGCCCTGAGATGGAAAACAAAATCGTGGCTTATCATCGTTGACACTGGTGTGTTTGTCATCATTTGAGTTGATCTTTCACTGCATAGAATGATGCCTATTGTCTTTAGAGCTGTCCTGATATCCCCTCTGTAAATAGTATCCTCCCAGGTGTGTAAGGATTCCATCTGAGATTTGGAATGCCACAGGGCATTGTGAGCTGAATATGGCAGTGGCACTGAATAGGTCCATTTCCTGATGTGAAGAGTGACTTTGAGTAGTAGGAAGTCTTGTTTCCAGGGAAACTGGAAATCCTTGGGAAAACCATGGACCATGTCATTAGAGAAGGACGGGAGATGAACTGCTTGCCTTAAGAATGCATTTCTCAGAGTGGGGCTTGGAGGATTCCTAGAGGAAAGCATGAGACAGGATGTGCACAGAGTGTTCTTGCAGAGCGTGCTTTCCCAGGTTCTAAGGGTCTGGAGTTGGAGGCCTTCCTGATAATGAGACCGTGGGTGGTATTGAAATGCCCACAGTGCTCTTTGAGGTTATGAATATCTCACACCAGAGACAGTCCCTTGTGCTGCTGCAGCCTGATATGGTCCTTGTGTTGGTAAGAGCTGGGGAAATGCAGGGTGATTAATGTTGACTAATGTACATTTTGACTGCCGTCTGGGGAAGGTGTTGAGGGAAGGGAATGCTTAAACTTGCTGTCCCTGTGCAGTGGTGGGCGTCCATAGTAGTTTCCACAAACGTTGATGTTGCTGTGATGATTCCTTGCTCTTCCTCAGGTGGGGTTTGTAAGGACACGTGGCAAGGTGAGTGTAATCTTTGTATGCTCAACTTCCCCTACTTGAGCACTGCAGAGGTGTCTCAGCAGAGATGGTGTGTCCTGTTGTCACATGTGGCTCATTCTGATATTTGCAGGCACCCAGCAAACCCTTCACTGCAGCCCAGCTCTGGTTTCATGAGGTACAAATTTCCCCCCTCTCAGCTGACATTGTGTGGGCTCTCACACTTTGGTGTTTGTTGTGGTTCTGTTGAAGAATAAAATCCATGTGGGCTGAGTTCAGAACTGTCATGTCTCCAATCCCAGAATCTTTATGAACCCCAAAGTTCAGCTCTGTGGTATTTCCCCCTTAGATGGCTCGACAGTAGCAATAAATTCATGGTGAGCTTCATGCAGCTGGAAGGAGCCTTCTGAATGCTATGTGGCTTTTTGGACTTCCATATATTCTTTGTGCCAATCATGAGGGGAGGTTAAGGAGGTGCAAAGGCATGGATCACATGCAAAGTGGGGTTTATAGGTGGGGAGATGTTATTTGTTTTGAGCAATGTTTGGTATGTTGTCAGTGATCTTGTGTATTGAGAGAGTAGGGCCTGGGCCTGTGTTTTGGGGAGGGTGAGTTTGAGTGTTGGGGTGTGTTGGCTGAGGGAAATGGAGATGCTGAGCAGAACACAGCCTGTGTCATTGTGGAGGAACTGGAGAACATCGCTTAGCTGTGGAGATGCCACTTCTCATGGCTCAGGACAGGGGATGCCAGTAAAAATCCTTGAGAAAACACACAGCACTCAGGGCTGTTCTCCTGGGATCCTCTCAAGACCTACAGAAGTTCTGCATATCTTAGGACACCCTGTTGTTCTGTTGTATAACTGTTTTTGAACATAACTGCCACACGTGTCTTTAAAAACCCTTTTTCTTCTTCTTTTTCTATATCTGGAATCCTGTTGGTCAAAGAGAAGTTATTTTAAAAATCCTTGTTCCAGCCTTCTCAAAATGTCTCCTTGTTTATCTCTGTGGTCTTGGTCTATCCAGGGAAGGGAAGAAGTGTCTGCATATTCAAGATATTAAGGAGCTTTGCATTTCAGTGCAGTGGGTTCCCTTGTCTTGTGTTCTTCTCTTGTTTTAGTGAAAACATCCACCTTTCTTTTTTCTTTTTTTTCTTTCTTTTTTTTTTTCCCCCTTTCCTAAAATTTGCAATGCCTTAGTAATAGTGAATGAGATGCAGATGGTGGAATTTTGGCAGCTGTAGGTGACAGATTTTAGCCTAATATTCCCCTCAGTCTCAGGGAAGTTTTTTCAACTCTCCTCAGCTGAGGTTGCTATTGAGAGAATGTCACCAGCTCTCAGGTGTCCCACTTGCTGCCCCTGGGAGAGAAGTAGAGAAGGCAGCAATACACACTGCCCAGCATTTTCAAAGGATTTGGGAAAAGTCAGTAATTTTTTTCTGTCAAACATCTCCCAGAATTACTGGTAATGTTAAAGGATGAGTTAAGGTTTATTGAATCCAATTGTGTCTTACAAATGTGTCTGTTCCTGAAGAAGCAGTAAGTGCTGCTGCAGGTAAGTTGTTTATATATGAAGACTTTGTGTGAGAGAGTCAGATGTGCTTTGTCTGCTGTTCAGCTGTGGTATCTTCATTACTTTGAGCACCTCTGCCTGCTCTCATTCCTTGCCTGCCTGGCACACATGGTGAGCAGGTGGAGGCAAGAACAGATGGAGAAGGGACCTTAATGCATTTCTTGGAGTAGATGTGTTGGGCACAAAGAGGATATTTTCAGAGACATTACTGTGGTGTTACCGTGGTGGGTTTAATTTGTTTGTGTGCCAGGTGGATCGTGCTCAGGAGTGAGAGGTATTCTGTGGGCATTGGTGTCCCTGGTGCCAAGGTTCTTGCTGTGATGCTGTGGCAGTTCATGCTTGGCTGAAAGAAGATGTCTTGACTTTCAGTGGGCAGGTGGAAATGAGTCAGGAAGAACCGCTTTTATCGAGGTGTGGGAAGAATCCCTGGGAGCTGTAGTTGGCCTTTGCAGTATTCTTGGAGCATCGGTGTGCTGGATTATGAGGGATTTGAGTTCCCAAATGACAGACTCCCCTGAGTAGTTTGGAACCGGATTTATTAGAAATCCCAATATCTGGGGCTTAAACTGGTTTCAGAGGGTGGTGGATTCCGTGGGTTCCTTTCTGATGTAGCAGAGATTTTTCTTGACAAATGATTGCCTTGTGTTATTTTCTGTCCTTGAGAGGTCTGGAGGCTGAAGGGTTTTGCCTTCCTGCCGAAGGAAAGGGAAGTTGCAGATGTGTGGCTGAGAGTAAAGCAGGAATGTTGTTCCCAGCTCAGAGAGGTGGATGGGAAGGGAAATGAGAGCTTTCACCAAAGGCAATGTCCATGCTTTGTTGTCGACAGTGGTGTAGCTGGTTTTAAATGATTTTATTATAGAAGAAAATGAAGATCCAAGGATAGAAACAGAAGAGAAGGGGAGGCAAAGACAGGGCTCTGAGAAACAAGAAAGAAAGAAGGAAGAGAGAAAGGAAGGAGATAAGATTAGCAAAAAAAAAAAAAAAAACACCACACCAAAAAAACCCAACAACAACAACAAAAAAACAATAAAACAAACAAAAAAACCCCAATCAAACAAAAAAATCTGTAAAGGAAGGAATTATTGCAAGAAACAAGAAATAGGAGGGAGAGCTCTTGCCAAAGGGCATTTCCATCTTTCATTGCGAGCACTGTGTAGAAGTTTGCAAAATATTTTGTTAAGGCATAAGGGGAACAAAGGAAACAAGGATGGAGAAAGAAGGGGGAGAAGAATTAAAGTGGACAAGAGAGTGAAAAAGAGAAGGAGGAAACAGAAGGGAGAGAAAAAGATAGATGAATACATAGCAGAAGAAAATGAAGAAGGAAAGAATGTGTATGCAATTATGAAGAAGGAAGGAAGAAGCAGAAAAAGAGAAAGAAAGGGGAAAACTATAAACGAGTTTACTGGCAAGTCAGAGACGCTACCACTGTATACAGAAAGGAAGGAGGGCGAGAAACGAAGAGAGAAAAAGAAGGAATGAGAGAGAAAAAAAACAGAAACAAGGAGCTATGAAGGAACGACATAAGGAGGGAATAAAGAATGGAAGATGGGAAAGAGGAGAAAAAACGTCCTTGCAAAGGAGCTGAGCAATACATACCGACCTTATCACTAGTGACTGAGCGGAGCTGAACCCCAACAGCCTCTGCCTAGATTACAGAACACTCGGGCGCGGGTGACACGTAATTACAATTTGTAGATCCGACTTGTTTGTCTTCAGTTCGGGACCATCTGGCGCAGGACGTGCGGCGAACTACCAGAAGGAGTAAAGCAGAGAGCAAAGAAAGACAAGCCCAAAGAATAAAAGGAAAGAGGAGGTGGGTTGGAAAAGCCTGCAGAGGAGATGCGTCTGGCGATGCGGAGGCGCGAGTGCCGTGTGGGATCGTGTGAGGCGGCGGAGCAGCGCACGGTGTCGCTGCAGGCTCAGGAACGGCGTGTGGGCGGCTCCGCCCCGGTGCGGCGGAGAGCCCGGCTGTGAGCGCGGGGGGGCGGCTGGGGCCGGGCAGCGGAGCCGGGGCGTGCGGGCGGCGGCGGGAGCCGTGCGGGGCCCGTGCGGTCGGGGCCGGAGGCGGCGGCGGCGGCGATGGGCGAGTGTGCGTGGGGTGCGGTGTTGCGGGTGGTGGTGGTGCAGGCGGCGTGGGCGCTGTGCGCGGGGCAGGTGCGGTACTCGGTGCCGGAGGAAGCCAAGGCCGGGACGGTGGTGGGCCGTGTGGCGCAGGACGTGGGGCTGGAGGCGGGCGAGGCGGAGGCGCGGCGGCTGCGGCTGGTGGCGCAGGGCCGGCGGGCGAGCGTGGAGGTGAGCGGGGCGAGCGGGGCGCTGGTGGTGAGCTCGCGGCTGGACCGGGAGGAGCTGTGCGGGAAGAGCGCGCCGTGCTTGCTGCGGCTGGAGGTGCTGGTGGAGCGTCCGCTGCGCGTCTTCCACGTGGAGCTGGAGGTCACCGACATCAACGACAATGCCCCCATCTTCCCTTCTGCCCG